TTTTTTTTAAATGTGGAAAAAAAAAAAAAAAAAAAAAAGAAAGAAAGAAAGGAAAAAGAAAAGAAGATTACCAATCAGGTGCTGCTAATGCAGACCTGAAAAGAATCTGTAACGAAAAAGCCAGTGAACTTGACTAAAGTAAAAATCGCAATAGCTTATCTTGCAAACTAAGCACAATCAGGAACTAGAAAAGATTGTAAGAATGTCAAAGAAAAAAAAAAAGAAATCTTGGTAAATATCAACAATTTCTAGAGATCGAATCATACGAGAACAACACATAGCCTACAATTTTTTATTTTTATTTTTTATTATTATTTGATTACTTATAGCCAACAAATATTGTTTAGACTAGATTAGGGCTATTGATATTTGCTTAACATAAAACAGTCCAAAACTTATATGAGATAGATTAAGCAAGCTTAAACGTATAATATTCGTCCCCATTGTTGGGAAAAAGAATAAAGTTAAAGTTAATGATACTTGATTTTTATCTAATCTTGGTGACAAATGTGCTCAAAGGAACGTTAATCATAAGTAAAGCTTCTCAAGGAAGAGAATATGCACGTCTTTTTTAAACTAAAAATTCATTACCTCAATAGAAAAATGTTTTGTGCTAACATTTATGCAACTTGTTGATCTAACACCTCATCCTGAATTTAGTGATTTCAATAGCGGTACTTGATATACAATGTTCAAGCATTGTCCAAATGCAAATGAAAACAAATATACAATCGTTCCAATAGTCATGATTGCTCATGCTTAATAATAGCTTAAATTTTACTTTCTTGAAGTTATATAAGCTATTTTTAAGCACAATCAAACATGCAAAATGCCATATAAATCTAGCTCTATGCATATTTAGGCCACATGTGCTTCTTGGATACCCGCAAAATGAATGGACATTGAGAGATGTGGGGTTTTCCTTATTTTCCATAAATAGATCAATATTGCATTAAATGAATACCTAACTAAAATTTTGTGATCAAAGAGTTCATGTGAGTGTTCTTGGCTAATTTAATGCTATCTCCTCTTTGGGGAACATATAAGACTAATATGACACAATTGAGAAATGGGCAATGGATTCACATATCAATGACAACTCCATTTGAACTCACCTCCTTGCCTCCCTCAAACGACAAACACACACCTCCTATTGGTCCAGGAGCATGTTACATGTTATGTAGAGTACTTGACATGACTCAACACCACAATTGACAAGAAAGAACAAATGAAAAGATTTTAGCCGAGTTCACTTTCTTTTATATTGTTCAACACTATCTTATTTCGTTCTTATGTTCTTTAGAAGAAGCTTATCTAGTCATTGCATTATTGGAAAGGACTTGACACGATGATTGATTAGATTGATTAGAAAAAACAAATAACAAGATTCTATAATCATCGTCTAACCATGCTTATAGTGTTCCTTTAGAACAATCTTTCAATTTAACCTAATCATTATATGCTGACTTATAAGGGTTTTGTGTTGCAGTGACATGTTCATAATTAATTTCACTGTCAGTTTCAAAATTAGCAGAAGCATAAGCAAGTAAAAGAGGGAAATTGAGAACTCTCCCTCCTTCCTATTTGCAGCACCAATGGCAATATTAGTGCTGGACAAAGCTGACATGTAATCTTCACAAAGTTACTCATCCTTTTCCTTTTATATATCTAAATCATGATTTGCCAAATACCAATTAAAAAAAAAAAACCCTAATACAAAAAAGACAGGACATGATATGCAAATCCATGACAATTTGGTCTCATAGATCTTAGTACCGGTACATGACTGATTGTTAGTACCGGTACAAAGACTGTCACTTTTATTACAAAAACCATCAGTTTTCAACTGATTCTTTTTGCAATATATGGAATTCAAGAACTTTAAACATGACTGAAATTAGTAATATATAGTTGCATTATAGATACAATAAACATCTATATATAGTTCAATATTCATAAAATCTAGGAATAGTATACAAAAGGGAAAATTTTAGGTACCTTTCATAATCTTCATAGATTATATATAATAAGTAATAATATGAGATTTGGGAAGAAATCTCATGCAAATGGTGGCGAAAAATAGTACTAGCTAGATTGGATTTGGCGGTGGCGATGGCTGCTGCTGCTGTGGTGGTCGCTTCCTCTTTTTCTTCTCGTAGCTGATTCCCCGAGCTTTCGATTGAAAATCTCGAACTTCGCGCAAGTAAAGCCTAACTGCTCGGGCACCGAAAGGGTTTGTTTCAGGCTTGCCTCCATTTTCTTCGTAGGCGGCCCGAAGGCGGCCGATTAAGGCGTCGAGGCTGCCCCAAGCTTGGCGCAGGGGACACGGGCATGGCGCAGGCGGGTTTGGGTGGCCGAAGAAAGGGCAAAGCTGAGTATGGACTTTAGTTTTCCCAAACTGATCTAAGTACCTGAGGAATTCAAGAACATGGGCGCCACTGCACCGGGAAAGGGACAGCGGCGGGCGGTGGTTCCTCAAGTATTGCCCAAAAGTATTCCAATCTCGACGTTTCTGGTTCTCATATCGGCTTAGGGTTGTCGACGATGGAGAAACGGAGGATGAAGAACCAGAAGGTGAACCCACCATGGAGTTAGGGTTTGCAGGAGTACTGATACCAAAACTGTTGATTTCAGTGCTTGAAGAATCCAATTTTTGGACTGGATTTGGATCCATGTTTTCTTTGCAAGCTTGATCTAGACAGAGAAACAGTACTATATATGTTTGATCAATCTGTTTTTTCTTGTAATAAATCTAAAGTTAGATGATTCTTTGACGAATCAATCCTAGGAAACCTTGAAACCGTCTATGATGTTTTTGTTAACTTTTTATGGTGCAAAAATTTGAAGAGAAGTAGAAAAGGAGAAGATAACTGTAGTTACTCCCTATGCAGAGCAATGGCAAAATGGTAAGAATCGAGGGAACTGGTTTAGGCTTTTGCGGAAATTGAAAGAATTTGACAGTAGGGTGCATAGAGATGATAGATAGAGACAGGAGAGAAAGCTGTGGGGGTGAAAATAAGATGGAATAATATGATTTTGTTTCTTGAACAATCAACCTTATTATTATTATTATTATTATTATTATTATTATTATTATTATTATTATTATTATATTTTATTATTATTATTATTTTTTGCATTAATTGACACAACCTTTTCTACTTTTTACCAAAATGTCCTCTATTCTTTCTAATAACGCGTGACATGTTTGACAGTTTTGATTGTATATATATAAGAAGTTAAGACATTTGTCCATTATATTGCTTTTTTAACGTGTGCATTTCGTGTAGCACCGATTATCATTAGACCTATTCGGTCTCTATTAAATTAAAATTTATTTTTCTCTCTCTTCTTATCAATCATACATTCTTCAATAAAATAATATGACATGTAAGTTTAAAAACTTTTCTTTCATTTTCAGTCAATATTCTTTAAAAAAATTACTATTCTTTCTATTATAATTTGAAATAATGGAGTCCAAACAGAGGTTTAGCCTATCTGTAATTAGTATAATTTCTAGTCAGGTTAATAAAACTACAATAAGTATCTTAATCTTGAAAACTGAATAATGACTTCAATTAATTATGCATAGATACTCCAACAAGTAAAGTTTCTTACCACCTTTGTCAAGATAACGTTTTTACACCTTTGATCCAGTGTATTTAAAGAAATTTGACTTTCTGAAATTTAAGTCGACACAATTAGACATTGCAATTTGAAAGAGCATATATCAAGACATATTTGATAGGATTGATCGGGCTATAATGTATATTTATCAAATATGTAAAATAAATTAATAGTTCATCTATTTTCGTGTATAGTTAACGTAAAGTACTATGTATCAGGACATATTTGATATGGTTGATTGTCTGACTATTTAAAATTTTGTATATTGCATCGTTCAATTTAATATGCATCTCTTAAAAGTGTCAATATCCCAAGTATAATTTGTTGAGACAATATTGTTAGGCATGAGAAATTTTGTTTAGACAATGTTGTTAGGCATGAGAAGAGAAGCCAAGTGTTAAAGTTTAGAAGAATAAATCTAAATTGTAGTTAATGCATACAAAATTTGCGTGTTGTTATACTCATAAATCCCTTCACATTAGGCCCTATTATTGAACCCGGACGAGGCCCATTAGAGTTGGACGACATAGGCCTAAGAGGCAGCCAAGTAAAAGCCCAAGCTGAGGCTTTCAAAGGGGTCATCTGAGGTGCCTTAAAGAGCTAGTCGAGGTACTTCAAAGGGCTAACCGAGGTGCTTCCCAAGATAGCCGAAGTGCCTGACGAGGTAGCCACCGAGGTCCCAAGAGGTCTTCCAAGGCTCAGCGGAGGTGCCTACAAAGCCAAGCCGAAGTTGTCTAAAGATCATCTGAAGTGGTCTAACCGAGGCACAAGAAGAGGTCTAACCGAGGTGCGTTCAAAGGTGCTGTCGAGGCCCCAAAAAGCCCAGTTGAAGCACTTACTAAGGTACCCATTGCTACGCTAATACAACCACCTCATACTGGGCTTGAACTTAAGCCCATTAAAGCACTTGACCCGTCTCCACCTCTATAAATATGAGAATTTTTTCTTATTTTCAGGCATGCCTAAACACGTTAAAATATTTTACCAACATTCCCCCTCTCCCGAATATTTCACTCCATACTTAGATTTCCGTTTGACCGCTGACTTGATCGTCAGAGTGCAAACGGTCGTCGAACCCTTTTCTCGGCCGGCGGCATTTGCCTTCAAATAGGGTGCCACGTGTGCAGGCATAAAGAAGACGAGATTGACACCTGTTGGCCATTTTCGGAGGTCAACACGTTTTATTCACCTACGATCCAAAAATGAATTTGCTACATTATTTAAAATAAAAAAATATGAATCACATGACTTGCGATGATCAATTTTCTTGATTGATAAGTATCTTGTCAAATTTAATGTAAAATGAGTTTCTACACTACTCGAAGACTTTTTTTTTTTTTTTAATTAACAACTCAATATGTTTGTTAAGCCCCTCTTTGGTGGATTTGAAATCACAATTTTAATCTAAATCAATGTCAATTTAAATCACGTCTTTCATTATATTCACATATTTTCAATCATACATTTTATCAATTTTTTATCAAAATCTATTAAAAATCTTATTTTAATCTCCATCAAACGGGACTAAAAGTTAAATAAAACGTAGGAATATGCTGAATTCAACTAGCACTAGAAACTCTATCAGTATCAAGTTTTAAACGTTTCACGAAATCCAAATTTTCACAAAATAACTTGACGTTGAAAGGTTTTATAATCTTATCAAATCTATATAAATTTCAAATGGAACTTAAGAAGAATATAATCAGTTAATCATTCAAGTAATGTAAGAAGAAAAAAGATTTAAAATACAACTAAATAAATAAAGATAAGGGTGAATCTCTGGTCTAAAATTTTTTAAAGGTGTCTCTATAACGTTTTAAACTAGAGAGGGTCTCTACATTTTATGATACACGAATCTCGTAAAGAAAATATAATAAAGACCGAAAATTAGGCATGTGGACCGGCTCGACCATGCTTTTAGAGTGAAAATGATGGTGGGGTTGTTGCCAATTTTATTTCCGTAAGTGTACGGATAGTAACAAGTGGTAAGTGGACCTATGAGTCCGGATTGTTGATCCTATGATGACTATACTCTAGCACTTAATTCAATTTTTCTTTAATCACTATTTGATGAAATCAGATAAAAAACTTGTAGGATTTGAATTTGAATGTAAATACGCAAAAGTAAGTGGATGCACACACAATTGATTTACAAAACAAACAATGCACATACGTCGGGGCAGAATAATTTCATTTATTGATCACCTTTACATCTTAAATTAAGGTCCTGTTTGGTACCAATTTTTGTAAGAATAAAAATAAAAAATATAGCCGTTACGGGGCCCACACAAGAAATAAAAAATCAAATATGGTAATTTGATGTGATGAATAACGATCATATTTTTCATTTTTGTAGTCAAAGAATGGGAATCAAACGAGGCTTAAGATTTACATCTCATGTAGTGTTCGGTCGAACTCTTCTTTTGTATTCAACTTATTCTTCTCGAGTTCTTGTTGAACCTATTTAACTAATTTAATTACATATCTCTATGCGAATTTAACTTAGTTAAACGAGTTCTTTGTCTTAGAAATTCAATTATGACTGCATTAATTAGTATATGTATCTCTACTCATTATACCAATTTATCGAATTTTACTATATGGTCTAAATCCTAAACTCACGTCTCTATTCGTAAAGGATTCACGAAATCATCAAATTAGTAATCAAGTAATTTAATGCTTTCAATCCATAGTAAAATCAACACATGAAAAAATAAAGAGCAAGAATCTTAAATAAATTATGTAAAGGGTCCCAAGTATGTTACATTATTCGCTATAACAAGAATTTTAGCTATTCATAATAGAGGAAGAAAAATAAATAAAAATAGTGGAGTCTATCACTGGATTTTGAATTTAGATGTGGATGATTAGATGAATCTTGCACAAAGTTCTTCTTCTTGTTCTAAATCTTGATTTTCAACCATTAAATTGTTGTTTTTCTCCTCTTGAATTTGCTCTCTAATTTTGATCTCTTGCCTCTTAATGTGTGGAACCCCCTTCTAAAAATGTGAAAATTTGTATTTATAAGTGCCTCTTCTTGTGTATAGAAAGTATGATTTCTATGAACTTCAAAACTGGCCAAAATGTGCCCTAGGCGCACCTAGGCGATGCCTTCGTGTCATGTAGCGATGTTGCGACTCTGTCAGCGCCACCTTTTCGGTGGAAATTCCAGCTACGCTTCTTTCAGTATTTCTATATTAACTTTTTTCTCGATGTCCAATTGAGGCGATTTAATATGCATTGAAAAGCTAATTCAAAGGGCTACAACTTTGCTTCAGATATCATTTTCAAATTCGATCATTTGCTATGTAAAAAACGAGTCTCAAGATGAGGCTAAAAATGGTACATAACTTTTTTCGGTTGGAAATTGATGCGTGATTATACTTTGATTATGTTTCATTAATTTGATGTCTTTCTTTATCCAATTGACTCCGAGTACTCTTGAATCTTCATCATGAGGTTCGATACAACTTTTGAACATTTGCACTTTGGTTTCTAAACTTTAGATCTCTCACAACTTAACCATTTTCTTTCCTTCAATCTCATCAACCTATGCCACAACATCAAAATACACATTAAAACGCTCTAAAACTCTTAGAAATTAACTAAATATTAAGTTTAAATGGTATCTAAAGTATGATTGAAATACACTCATCAGGGGTTGTTTGCTCGAAGTGGAGGAGGGGACGGGAGCAAATGGAGACGATGATTTCTTCTTCTTCTTCTTCTTCTTCTTCTCTATTTATTTATGTAAATTAAAAAAAAAACTAAAATCATCTTTTGAAAAATGACTGTGTAATCGAAGATAACAATCAAATCATCCACTCATACCTTGTTTCCACAAATACAGAAGATTGGAAATTCACGTGATATGAATATCAGCATGAGTGAGCACAGACAACTACAATTCCCTAATTTCATTTAAATATAATCTGTTATCAATAGTAATTAGAAAATACAAGAAGAATTAGTGACATGTTGGCAAACAAAATACTCATTGTTGAAAATGTGTTGTTCAACGATCAATAAACGAGTGTGGAAGTAATATGAACAAGATTGGAACTGAAAAAGCAAAAAATGGTTGTCGGCTTTGGTTCATGCGACTGCATGGTTCCAACAACCATCCAGCCGCACAAGGCCTCCAGGGACTTGGAGGGCCAGTTTGGGAGAAACCATGCGGCCGTATGGTACAAAAAAATATGGTCGTTGCATGGCCGTTTCTCTTTGTTGAAAGATCAAATTTGGTGACTTTTGACACCCTTTTTGGCACCATTTTGTTCATGTGGTGTATACTTATAAATATTGGATCCATGTTGAAGGGTAAACATCATAAAAAACATCAAGGTTCCATATTACTTCCAAAATAAAATATCAAAGTC